AATAGACTAAGCCCAAATAACAGAAACACACATCTTAACATCTAAGAGAGGGGATCAAAGCGGAGCCAGCCGCAGTACGAAGGGATTTACCGCAGATAATGAGGTTATTGGGGACGAACGCCAATAACACGGAGGGACAGTCTGATGATAGTTCCGTGAACGAGAATCCACAGCGACGGGTGGGGCAAGTCGAAGGCAGAGTGGTCAGCGATTGCAATGACGATCAGAGACTGTGGCAGAAAAGGGTAGATTTGCCTACGTTTGACGGGTTGGAGCCCCTTAGTTGGATCAATAGGGCGGAGAGATTCTTTGATATCCAGGTGACAGGCGAAGAAGAAAAGGTGGAGCTTGCGTACGTTAGCATGGAGGGAAGTGCGGCTTACTGGTTTAAGTTTTGGAAAGAAAAGGCCAGGAACCGTTCTTGGGAAGGCCTTAAGGCAGCCATGGTCAATCGTTTTGGAGGCGGATTCTAGGGGACCGTGTTCGAACGATTAGCGACCCTGCGACAGGAGGGTAACGTGGAAGAGTTCGTTCGCGATTTCGAAATACTGATAGGGCAAACCAGGGGCATATCGGAAGAACAGGTGTTGGGCTATTTCCTCGTCAGTTTGTGCGAGGACATCAAGGGGCAGGTGCGAATTCAGGACCCCCAGGAGTTGACGGTGGCGATGAGAATCGCGAGAGACGTGGAGGACGCGGCACTCATGGCTAAAGAGGGAAGTTGGAATGTGACCAGGAATTCGCAATCTTTGGAACGAACGATCGGGGCAGAAACAAGAAACGAGATCAACCGCCCAAATCCGAGTCGACTGAGCGGGGCAGAAAGCGTACGATCGGTGAGAAGATAAGTCGCAATGAGTGCCAACAGACCGAACGGTAACGGGGGACAACCGAACAATATGGGCAGGAGCGACAACAGAGGCCGAACGGTGAGGAACCTGCCCTATCCTGAGTTTCTGAAGAGAAAAGAAGAAGGGCGATGTTTTCGATGTGGAGGACCATTCGCACCCGGTCACCATTGTCCAGAAAGGAGCCTGCGGGTGGTACTCTTAGCAGAGGATGAGGAAGACGATGAAGAGGAGGATTTGCCACCACCCATGCCTCCTGATAGAGGCTGAACGGTAACGGGGGGCAACCGAACGGTATCAACAGGATATACCGAGCAGTAGCGATAACAGACCGAGCGGCCGGACGGTATCAGCAGGAGAGACCGAGCGGACAAGTTTCCCGTTTCCAACCTTGAGGACAAGGTTGTTCGGCAGCGGGGTGTAATGTTAGGGATGGAGAGTTTACAAGAGAAAGAATAAAACATTAAATGCTTAACTGCCTTAGCAGTTAGAAAGAGCAGGGTTATTGGTTGTATAAATAGCAAATAAACAATTGTAGAGGGGGGGGATTGTTTTAATTGTAGTTCTAACAGGATTTGTCATCCTGAGGGGGGAGGTTAGGCTCTCTAGAGGGAGGTTATGCTCCCAAACCCAGTCCTTGTAAAGAGATTCTTTTACGGTGAATAATAGCAACACCCATTCTTCCATTATTGTTTCTACCTTTTTGAGTGTGTTCTTGTTAGGTTCCAAACCCAAGAACCTAACAATAAAGCACCTTACACAACACTCCAATTGCACGAAACCAAGTCTATAAGGAGTTGGAAGAACACCACAGTACCTTTCCAAGTCCCACATGCAAAATTGATTTACTTTCCATTTTAAACTCCACACGACCCTGTCTTAACTCTTTCAACTGCCCTGCAATATCACTGGTGAGAGTACCTAGCTGATCATATAAAAACAACCGAACAAGAGTTACATACAACCCACATATTCCTAGACTTAAAAAGAATGCCAAAAGATGTCGACAAACTAACCTTCTTATCTGGCATCAGTCTGCGCTTTCTGAGGTATTGTGCTATCTGCATAGTTCATAAAAGCTTTAGAAGAAAAAAACTATTAATTCAGATGATTTTTACAAGTATAAGACCATTTAAATTGAAGAAAAAACCTTTCCAAGATGAGGTGCCATTCCAGGAGACGAGAAGCATTTGTCAACTTTGAGCTTATTTTTACCACCTATAAGTGTGTATAAGCTATTATTAGATGTGGATAGAGTTTAGAAATTTCATATTATTGCTATGAAAAGGAAAAATCATAGTTGCTAAGGTCCCAAGGACATAGGATATTCCATTTCATGCACAGTTGAGTTACAGTTAAAGTGTCTGCTAAGCACATGACACAAAATTAATGTTACAAGTTTGCCTAAATTAAAACATTAGGTTTAGGTGTGTGCACAGATAGATCAAAGGAGAAAAATAATTGCAGATAAACAAGCATATACTAGAAGTGAGTATGCACATACAGAAGGTGATAGCTATACAGCTAAAAAACAAGAAAAGCAAGAAGGGAACCATCAAGGGAAGGGACAATATGCATCTGTGCATTTGCTTTTCACAAATATAGTATGGGAAAAATCTATCAAAATGATGTACAAAATTACTTGTAGAAAGAGATCAGTTCATTACTAGCAATCTCCTCAATAAGCTCTTTACCACCAACTATATCAGCTCCTGCAGCTTTAGCTTCCTCTGCCTCAGCCCCTTCTGCAAAAACAGCCACACTGACGGCCTGGAAGGTATGGATAATTAGACGACAAACCTACCATTATATCAATTGCTTAACATTCATAGGTTACCTTGGGAGCACCATGAGGCAGAATCACAGTACCACGAACTGCCTGCCAGAGTTGAAATCATTATCTTCTAAAGCAGAGGATTGATGGAACAGCATATATAGTTTTATCCAGAAAAGGGGGAAATAACAGTTATTTGGGATATATAAGCACAAAAAAGAGTTTTACAAATAACAATATTTAAAAAAAATTGTAGAATATGTTTGATAGTCTTTGAAGAGATTTTCCAAGATAATTCACTCAACATATAATAACAATAATAATTTCACAGGACTTGATGCTTAGGGAACATGAAAAGGCTATGCTTTTGAAGATATTACTTCCTTCGGTCCTTGATACTAGAAACAAATGTGTACACTTTTTTGTCCTAATTATAAGAAACATGGACTCCCTTAATGTATTAGTTGCTAACTTCTTTTTATACCCTTAATCTATTGTGGGTGTATTTTAGCATATTAACGATGCAATTTGTTGAACATGACAAACCTATGGAACCTCAGGTTTACATGTCAAATTCAAGATTTATATGTTGTTGAAAGAATCACTCAAACAAACCAACACATTCAAAATAAGGAAAAGGGTGTAAACAATGCATACCAGTTCTGTTCGCTTTGAATCAACACCCAATCTTACATGTGCTTCAACAGTTTCATCAAACTTTGCCTTGGCATTGGCCTGAACAATTTGTGATTATATTAAATGATAGCAACTGATGGAACATTCAAGATAAATTGTGAAGATCATCACTAAGGATGAGCTAATCCAAGCAATGACCCAAAAGGATGGATGTAGGCAGTTTAGCTATACTAACAATTCATTAGTTTAGCATCAAGATTATCAAACTCAAGAATTAGCATAAATTTGGTAAAGATTTCATAGACTCAACTAGTAAACTCAAGAGGCAAAAGAAATATTCAGGACATTTACAGATAACATGATACTTGAAAACAACAATTCAACATTTCAACTCCACAATAAAGTAAAGCAACAAATCAAACAAAAATATATACATTTCACAGTACATTATTATTAAATAAGTGTAAAATATATAAATTATCAAAGCATACAAATTTCAAAAACATAAGTGCTTACGGTGAAAACATTTCACAAAGTTCATTTCTTCCAATCAACTATGGGTTCCATGGGGGCCAATAATTACATTTGATTTCAAACTCACTAACTCACTTCTTAACTTGAGAGCTTACACGAAATTATAGAATTAACTCATTTTCTCTACCTAAAACAGTGAACTTGTAAAAGTTTACCAGTTAAATAGAGAGTTTGACAACATTGTTTAGTACTATTTATTATTAAGAAAATGGCACAGATTGGTGAGAGGGTACGTTCCAATAGAGTTTGTAATAAGTCACAAAATAATGGATATCTAACATTAAAAACTCGGCAGGGGGATGGTGCTATACAGAATACTTCTATAACACACACCTTGGTACTGCATGCAATGTTGCAAACATATCACAGCTATGAGCACACATACAGTATCAAACAAAAAAATATAGTTGCTATAAATTGTAACAATTTTATACTTTCCAAATTGGTCTTCTTAACAAAGAAAAAAGTGCCATTAGTAAACAAAACAATTTTTTATCTATGTATTAAATATTTGCAGCAGTAGATTTTATAAATTTATTGCAATAAGTACACGTTTTTTTCTCCAGGACAACTCATACCTGATTGCAAACCTGAAAAATGCATTTTCAGTCTCCTAAAATGTATAATCTAAGCGTAGATTACTGTATGATAATCTGCCACACTTACAGACAGTAAAAATGACCAACCAGGACTAGTGTGTATGTCACTTTAACAGCCTCGATAAAGGCATTTACCATAAAATTCTGAAAAAGAAACAACTGCTCTTTCACAGAAGGCAACAGCTAAGAAATTCCGTAGAGGTTACTATACCACCCTCAAATATCCCAGCAATTTTGATAAAAATTTTGTGCATCACTCTCTCATTGGAGGATCCAAGACTCCTTGTTTCACATGTAATTTCTAACACAGCAACTTGTTCCTAATAACCAACAATCAAACTACGGCATTACCCAAAAGCTCCAACAAAAGTACTACGTAATGGACACATAAAGGGTGCAAATTAAGCTAGAAATAATTATAAGCAAAAAAAAAAAAAGTCCACATACAGCAATAAAGTCTTATTCCACTAGGTGAGGTCAACTACTCAAATCACATAATGCAATTTGGCTCAGTTAAAGGACCAAAGTTCAGCCATGTTTTTCATAAATCATGTTACGCAGTGCCTGAGTACTACACAAATTCAAACTAGTATCTGAACATTAAGAAAATAATAATGGATATTCAACAATACTTCAGTGACTACTTGTATAATTTCATTACTTCAAAGGCCACTTTAACAGCAAAAGTAATACTCCCGGAGCAAAACTTTTGGTTAGTCACTCGAAACTATTTATAATTTGAACTAATGGCTTTTGTTTTCACCTTAATTTGGCGAATGGCTTCTGCCAAATCAAGCGGAGGTGGCTTCTCGTTCTTTTTGGGCTTAATCAGAAGCGGAAACGGCACCTTCATACGCTCCTCTTCGTAGGCCTTCGCCATTCTCATCCTCAGCTCATTCTCCGCCTCGATCTTCTTCCTTTCAATCTCCGCCCCTTCGTCCGCCACCTTGTCATCGGGGAGAGGCGCCACCCGCGGGCCGTACGACACTACTCCAATCGGCGGCGCGTCCTTCACGTATCGGATGTCCTCGCGCGTCCACGCGCGCTGCGAGACCGACGGCGGTCGGAGGGATTGCGGTTCGGCAGGTGGTGGTGAGGATTCCGGCGAGGGTTCTGGCGGCGGGGATTTGGGCTTGACAGGGTAGGAAACTGGTTGGATGGGGATGGGTTGGGAGGGTCTGGCGGGAGGGTTTGAGTTTGAATCGGAGGAAGAGCAGAGGGATCGGTGAGAGGTGAGAGTGAAAGGAGAGTGTGGGAAGTAAGCGCGTTTGGCGAGGGAATGGCGGCGAGCTTGGGAGAGGAGAAGCTTGAGTGCCGCCATGGCTGAAGAGTGTGAGAGGGAGTGAGAGGTTTTAGGAAATGGGGTTAGCGTGGTGGGGAAAGAGCAGTGTAAGTTGGTTCGGGTTCCGAAAAACCCGAAATTCTAATACGGACTTTTGTGAGTTAATCATGAAAATGGGTATGGTAACGGGTCAATAATCAAACCGTTCGATTTGTGATGGGTCACAAGACTAAAGAAACAGATTTATTAATTATAACGACTCATCTAATTTTATATTTTTTAACAACAATAATGCACAATTTGTTATATGCTTTTTCAGGGTGAATGTTGATGCTGAAACATTTTGTGACCATCATTCCACCAAAAGCCCCTTTTGAGAAGTTCCAAACCATTTTTGCAACTAGCCTCAACTCAACCAATGCCAGAGCATTGTTGAAAGATATGGGATTATCAAAACGGTTGTGCATTTTCCATATCACCCACATATTATTGATGCATGCGGCTTTTTTTTTTGGTATTTTAATCATAATTAAAAAGCTTATAAATAAATAAATTTAATTATTCAAACTATTTATAAAGTTCACTATTTCTTTAAAATAATGTGAAAAAGTAAAATAAATAATAAAATAATGTGCAATCAGTTTTGAGGTTTTCAATTCCTTTGTCAGTGTTACATTTGATTTGGCATAGTTGATTTCAATTCAATAGATATTTAGGCTACTTTCTAGTAAGCACATTTAATAGATATTGATGTACAAAGTTTTTTTACAAATGCTTTGCATTAGATAAAAAAAAGACCGATAGGAAGATATTTTAGGAATGTTTCTTCAAGTATATTGTACGTTCTGCTCATTTGTACAAGTTATTTCTAAAAAAACTCAGCATCTGACTTCATACCAAAAGACCGCCTACAAAGAAAGTAAATGCATCTAAATAACGGATCTTTTCTAAGAAGGTTATATAAAGAGGATCACATCAAGAGGACAAGAAGAATAACACTCTGAATTTTACACTATCTTTTTCTTTCAAGCCTTTATCGTTTAGCATTTTCTCTGAAAAAGAAAAGTTGTATTACAAGTCTTAAGATTTCTTTGAATTGAAAACTTATCTTTTCTACGAGAGTTATAATATATACTTGTTTTATAAGAATACCTTTGTTGTGTTTGTATATTCAAAAGTGAATTAAAACACTTGGTTGTTTAACTCAATGAAGTTAAACGATCTAGTCCATTGGACTAATGAGATATCAGGAGAGGTGAAACTTGTATAACTAGTGGGTTAGTTGTAAAACCATGAGTGGTTAAACTCGTTGTAATTTTTTGAAAGATTAGTGGAAGAGTGTTTAAAGGAAACTAAAAGTAACTTAGTTTAGAGCGAACCAGCATAAAAGTAAGTTTTCCTTATTCCTTATGTTTTTAAAAGTTTTCCTAAATACTCTTACAAATACTTAAGTGTTTAACACTTATTGCAGACCATTTAACCCTTACAAAAGCACTTAAACATTTATTTGCGAAAATTTTTAAAAACTCTTTTCAAATCCTTCCTTTCTAGAGTTTTTCACGTGTTTCAAAGTGTTATCACTTATCCAACACCTAAATTTAATTTTGACACTGGTTTTTTTAAAGCTAGATTGGAATTTAACTTTCATGATAGATATAGATCATTCACTAAACTAGAAAAGAATAGCATATTGAAAAGCTTAATAAAGCTTACAATCATGTTTTAGTGTTGTAGTATTTCGAGATGGATTTTAATATTTATTTGAGTGATCTTGAATCCAATTTTGATGGTTTTGAGCATGTGCATGTTAAACCTATAGAGAATAATGATTTTGCACATAGTTTTGCTTCTAATGCCACTATTTTATCATGTATTATTAAGCATACACATATTCTAGTAGTAAATAGCATGGTTGATGTTTATTCATAATATGAAGTATTTTTTTATGAAGAATTGTATTTAATTCTAAAAGTAACAACCTTATACTATTTGAGGATTATAAGGTTGATACGGCAGAATTAGAGGGAATAAATGAAGAGAACACTTGTAAAAATGTAGGCTTGCTAATTCAAAATGAATTTGTTAAATTTCTATAGCCTTTAAAGTTAAATTATGAGAAAAGCATGAGATGTACTTGTATTGGTGATACTTGTGCCATTTCTATTAAGACCTTGCAGTCGCAGCTAATTCTAATTGTTTTGCAGGAATAAAGTTGTCAAAAAGTCATACACATGTGTGCTAATGTGTGTGTGTGTGTGCGTGCATGCATGCCTAAAGATCATCAGGTAATAGATTTTGTCACAAGCTAGTGCATTGAAACAGTGAACCACTCAATTAGCTTCAACATTAACGTGAATTCAATGAGCAACATGTAACCAAACCCATTTTTAGGCGAAAGGAACAATAACAAGAACACTCATTTCCACCCTTCAGAACATGTCGTGACTATGGGCCACTACATTGGCCTATGCAGTTCTCCACTGGACTTCATGCAGCAGTACAACTACAAACAACTAAACAGAATGAAGAGTAATGCCTTTTCTGAAGAATTTGAGGTTTTTTCCTTCATGACAAGCAAACAAACCTAGAAGACAAGCATGACGCATATCATAAAAGCCTTATGACAAAAGATTCACAATACTTGAGTCTCGAAAAGCAAAAGAGAAGCAAGTGATTGATATAAGATGAGGTGTTGACTTAGTTAGGATCTCAATCTTGTATAATGATGCTTTTGCATTTCTAGCTAAATTAATAAACCTACTATTGTCTAGTATGGTATTTAATATTGTTAAACCTCAGTACAAATATTGTATGTTGAAATTATTTACTTTAACAACTAATTCTTATATATTATACAAATTCCTTGCAATGTATAATATTTTGAACTTTTATGATGTACTTTAATGTTCAAATTTGTATGAATTTTCAAAAAAAAAGTAGGGTCATCAAAGTAGGTAATTACCTATGGATAAATCTATATGTAACATTTGCTACGACTAATTTATCTGTGAATTTTTGTCTGTGGATAATCCGTAGGTAAAATAGAGTTACCTATTGGATTTTGTGATTTACTTACGGATTTTCTGTAGGTAATGAATGATCTTTTTTCTTGTAGTGACTTTTGCATCAACTTTTGTATTATAAATTAATTTAATTACTGTATATTATGTAGAATAATTGTTGTTTTCCATCAACTTATGATCATAGTATGGCAAGAAAGGTTTTAGAATCTAACATGTATGGATCAATATTCTGACTCTTTAATACAGAAAGAGCAAAAGAAAGGACAAATTCAAAAAATATTCAAATCTTAAAAGAGTCTTGAACAAAGAGGCATATAAACTAAGATGTGGGAGGGATTAGTAGACATATGGCAAACATAAGAATGGACAAAATTCTTTGCAGGTAAGAGCAATTTGGCTAGTTCATGGTTCACACAAAAGGGTCACAAAGCTTTGGACAACACTTCATAAAAATGGTATTCATACTTTTCACATTTGATAATAATATTAAAAACTCGTTTTAGGTTATTATAATGTATGTAAACTAAATAGAATAATATCATTGTCATATAAGTGTTAGTCCATGTGGATTATTAGTTGTAAACTATATATTATATTTGGTGTTATTTGTGAAATAATCTTTTAATTAAATCCTTCTATGTCTATTTATTATGTTATCATTCCACTCATTTTAATATAGTCTATTCATTAATTGGAAATAGTAATGTGGTATCTTGTTACCTTGATCTTAACTTAAAATATTTTTTGTTGCCATATTGAACTATACCCTACCTGAAGTTGTCATAAACATCAACCATGAATCCAATTCTTCTACTTTTGGCTTGAATATGATATAAATGCTCTATTTATTCTTAGAGTTTAGATGTCATGTAATATTTAAGCAATTAAGTAATGTATTTGTATTTCTTGAATTCAATTATTCCATGTTTCATTTTCAATGATTGAAGGTCTTTCTTCCTAAAATCCTAATCCAACAACTAAAAAGATCACTACATTTTATACTGAAGATCTAATTTACAAGAGCAAGTGAAAACATATTTACTAGTATAGACTATTATGGAAGAATTAATTCAAGAAAATGAAAGCACAATTGTAACACCCGAATATTTTAAAGGGTATTACTGATAGTAGAGACTAAATTAATTTGATATCTCATATAAACAATCAAACTTTATTTCAATTACTCCAAAGTACAATACCAAACTTACAAACTTTAAACAATATAGTCTTCACCATTGAAATTTCAACTTATAAATTTTACACAACATAATCTTCCCAATACAAATTTATTCTTTTTACAAAAATCCCTGAAAGTTTTTCCCCGCATCTCTCTCATCTCTAAGCTTTTTCAACCGCATCTGCAACATTATCTAATCACATATAACATGAGTTATATGATCATAGTACAAACAAATAAGGGTAAGCCAACCATATCATAAAATCATTAAACTTGTAACAAAAATATTAAAATCAGGTATTTCTGCAATTGATAAAATATCATTATTCCGATGTCATTAATTCATCATTATCAAAATCATCTTTCTCATTTCCATAAATCTTACAAGTGTACCATGCTTACTCATGAAGCCTTATGGTCAGACCG